CATACACACATACACACATACACGCACACGCACACGCACACACACGCACGCACACACGCACGCACACACGCACACGCACACGCACACACACACACACACACACACGCACACACGCACACACACCTCACACCCCGTACCCCCTCCCGCCACCCCCCCCCACTCCCCCACAACTGCAGGACATGTCGTACACGCTGGCTGTGTTCACAGCGACGCGGCACGTGCCAGACATCATCTACACGGGTCGCGATCGGGAGCACACCGCCATCGGGTTCGTGCCGGGCCAGGAGCTGCGGTTTGTTGTGAAGCAGACAAACTTCTATGGCTCGAGCGATTACAGCCTCCCATCAGACACCATCGCCTTTCCACAGGTTGTAAAGTGTGGTTTACATTGGGAACGGACGTGTGGTTTTGCACGCTGTACATTCTTTGGCTTGCACGCATCTGCCCGCGAACCTGTCGCACGAATCTGCCTGCCAAGCCCCTCTCCGCCACCTCACTTCACCTGACATCACCACCTCATGCCCATTTGAATCAGGCGTCGGAATCGAGTGCCGGCGATGAAGAGAGTGAAGACCGCATCCACTGCCCGTTTTTCATGGCGGGATTCTGCCCAAGGTGCCCCCCTCTCTGCCTGGTGTTGCGGTGATGGTGATGATGATGACGGTCTTGATGATGCTTACTTTGTGTTGATTCGCATTCGCACACCATCTCACCTTGCCGCCACACACCTGTGCTTCGTGACCACTTCCTCCTCTCCGCCGCCACCGCCACCACCATCACCAGAGGGGACCGGTGTCCGTTCTATCACGGGGACGGTCTGAACGGCGATGAAGTCTCTGTTGCGCTCGCTGCCGTCTCCATGATCGAGAATGAGGACGTGCAACTTATGGCTGCTCTGCAAGGTATTCATGATAAGGGGGGAGAGAGAGGGGGAGAGGAGGACGATGGCACGCACGCACGCACGCACGCATGCACGCACGCACGCACGCACGCATGTAAACGCACACTAGCTGCTTCTTTTACTTCTTCCTCACGCACCTCCATCGCCCCCTCTACAATGCTTGCATCATATCAGCGTCGCTTGAACAGTCAAAGCAGGCGCAATACGACGCATCTAAGCAATCACACTTCCAGCGCACATTCCACGAGAAGGAACAGAGATTCAGGAAGAAGGTGCGAATAACACGCATACGTTGTGTGTGTGTGTGTGCGCGCGCGCACCTCTCACATCCCCACAAACCCACAACTCTCCTCACCCCTGTGCCCTCCCCTTCACGTATCCCCATCTGCAGCTGCCCGAGGCCAAAGGGGAGTGCAACATCACCGTTGCGCGGGCGGACCTGTTCAAGACATCGCTGTTTGAGATTACGCGCATTCCCGCCACGAAACTCCGCCAGCGGCTGATGATCCGCTTTCACGGCGAAGGTGTGCACCGCTCGCGATGCTGTTGGTTGTTGGTGGTGCCGGTGATGGGGTACCTGTTCTACTGTTGACTTGCTGGTTGCTTCTGTTACACACTGGCATTCTCGCACGTGCTCACGACCTCGTTGTACCAACACACACACACACACATGCCCTCCACCTGCAAAACCACGCTTCATCCCCCCCCCTCTTCTACTCGTCTGTGTTCAGGCGGCCTTGACTACGGCGGGCTGGCGCGGGAATTCTTCTATCTCATCTCAGGAGAGGTGTTTGACCCGCGGCTCGGGATGTTCGAGTACACCTCGTCCAACTACGCCCTGCAGATCAGCCCAGACTCCGCCAGCAGCGACGACCACCTGCTGTACTTCCGCTTCGTCGGTCGACTGCTTGGCATGGCTGTCTTCCACGAGCACTTTCTCGACGTCACATTCACCAAGAGCTTTTACAAGCACTTGCTCGGCCTGCCGCTCACACTCAAGTCTGTGTGTGTGTGTGTGTGTGTGTGTGTGTGTGTGTGTGTGTGTGTGTGTGTGTGTGTGTGTGGGTGGGGGGTTGTGTGTCTCTGTGTGTGTGTGTGTGTCTGTCTGTGTGTGTGTGTGTGTGTGTGCGTGCGTGCGTGCGTGCGTGAGTGAGTGAGAGTGTGTGTGTGTGTGTATGCGTGTGTGTGTGCGTGTGTGCGTGCGTGAGTGTGTGTGTGTGTCTGTGTCTGTGTGTGTGTACATGCTTGTCTGTGTGTGTGTCTGTGTGTGTGTGTGTGCGTATGCGTTCGCAGCATCCTCTCACCATCCCCTCGCCATCCACTCACCATCCACTCACTATCCACTCGCATCATCCACCCACCAATGCCAACACCCCAATGCGTCGCCACTGCAGGGATTTGCAAGATGTTGATCCGGATGTGCATCGCAGCATGATTTGGATTCTCGAGAACACGGTTACAGAGGTACAATCACGCTCGTTCATTCTCTTGAGGCAGTGGACACTGTGTCCACTTGGCTCACAGAACTCACACACACACTCACACTCACACTCACACGTTCACTCACACTCACGAACGCTTGTTCATGTCACTTCCATCCACTCGCCGCCGTGCAGGATATGGAGTTGTATTTTGTCGCGGATTACGAATCGTTTGGAGTCATGAAGCAGCACCCGCTCGTCCCCGGCGGTGAAACCGTCAAGGTCAACAACATGCACAGTTCGCTTGAGACTGCTTTGTGTGTCCGTGTCCGTGTGTGTGTGTGTGTGTGTGTGTGTGTGTCTGTGTGTGTGTGTGTCTGTGTGTGTGTGTGTCTGTGTGTGTGTGTGTCTGTGTGTGTGTGTGTCTGTGTCTGTGTATACCTCCTCTCCACTCTCTCCACTCTCTCCACTCTCTCCACTCTCTCCACTCTCTCCACTCTCTCCACTCTCTCCACTCTCTCCACTCTCTCCACTCTCTCCACCTCTCCACTCTTCCCACCCCACTACCCATTCTCGAATTTATTCCACCACTCACGCCCTTGCGCTCTGTTCTTCGCCACCCTCGTCGTGTCCACAGGTGAACGAGAGCAACAAGCACGAGTTTGTGCGGCTGATGGTTGAGTGGCGGCTGTGTCGGTCCTGTGAGCGTCAATTGAAGGCCATCATGGCAGGGTAAGGTTTTCGCACTGCTACCACCATCAACGTGGGCTGTGTTACATGCACTTGTGGTAGACAGCCCACACGCATCCACATACTGCATGCCACGCGTTGATGATTCCTGTTTGCTGCTTGAAAGTTTGCACTCACACACACACACACACACGCACACCTACTGTGTGCAGGTTCTATGCGGTTGTGCCGCTGAGTTTGCTGCGCGAGTTCAACGAGGCGGAACTGGAGCACTTGATCGCCGGCAGCAGACACTACAACCTGGTACGGCAGTGGCGCGTGGTGTGCTGGGTTGTGGTGGTTTGTGATGGTGATCTTGATGGTTGAGACGAGCAATGTGCAAGTCGTGTCAACCTCACTTATTCACACACACACACACACACACACACACACACACACACACACACACACACACACACACACACACACACACACACACACACACACACACACACACACACACACACACACACACACACACACACACACACACACACACGACAGGAGGATTGGAGGGCGCATACGGAGTACAAAGGATACATAGAGACGGACCCTGTGATCCAGTGGTTCTGGGAGATCATCGATTCATACTCGCCAGACGAACAGGTGCGGCAACAGCAGCAATCCACAGTGGTCTTGTTGCTGCCTCACAAGCTGATTTAATGTCGCCTTCGTGTTTACACTCATGCTCCAGACACACACTGACATCCACTGACACACACATACACATACACATACACATCCACATACACATACACATACACATACACATGCACATCCCCTCTCCTCTCCTCTCCTCTCCTCCCTCCAAATTGCAGGCCGAGTTCCTTCAGTTCTGCACGGGTTCGACGCGCGTGCCGCTCGAGGGATTTCAGGCGTTGAGGGGATCTGATGGCCCGCGCAAGTTCTGCATCCAACGGGTAATGTTCACACACACACGCACACACACACGCATACACACGCGCACTGCTGCACTCGGTGTTGTGTCCATCCTCCAACCAACCCCCTTGTCTCTGCTTCCATGCGCCGCAACCACCCTCCTCACAGCCCACCTGTGATACATCATACACCACCCCCACCCCCCAATCCCTTCTCAGCTGGATGACCTGACGCGGCTGCCGAGTGCGCACACGTGCTTCAACCGGCTCGACCTGCCCTCGTTCCCCTCGAAACAGATGCTGCAGGAGCGCCTTCGCATCGCCATGTGGGGCGCGCAGGGATTCACCGGCGACTAGCCGCTTGTCTGTCTTGTGTGGTGTGGTGTGTCTGTGTGTGTGTGTGTGTGTGTGTGTGTGTGTGTGTGTGTGTGTGTAACTCTTCTTTCCCTCTGTCTGTTTCTCCTTCCGTATCTTTGTTCGTTCTCGTAACTGTGCCCATATTCGTCTGCCCATCAGTCCATTCATCTGCACTTCGAATCCATGTGTTATTTGCCCTCTGCTGAGTCTTCCTTTCCACTTTCCCCACCCAGCTCAGCACGCAGTGCATGAACACCTTTTCTACCCACTCGAGCACTTGCCATGTAGCCTTGAGTCGCCAGTAGTGTGTTGTTGTGTAGTTGCTGCCATCCTTGCCTCTCCCTTCCTCTCTTCCGGCAACAGCGCGTCCTCCGCCTTGTCAACGCATCCAAACCCAGAAGCGTATCGAATTACACGAGCCAGGCACCCAACACCTGCCATTGTGTTCTTTACTTGGAAGGGGTGGGGGAAAGCAGTGTTGTCTGATAAGAAGAGAAGAGAAGAAGATGTAAGCTTACGTTGGTGATTGGTGTTGTTGTTGGGTGGTGGGAAGAGTCAGCTGATGTCCACCAAAGCGAGTGCACAAAGTGCCAGTGGGCCAGTTGCATGAGCATTGGCAGGACGCGCGAGTGGCGGGCGGATCTTAGGCCTTGATGCGGTCCAAGGTCGTGTTCACCATCGCCTGCACGGACAAGGGAAGGCGATGGAGTGGAATGGGTCACGTTGTTGCCACAGTCGATGATCATGCACACACTCACGCACATTCACACATGTACACGCACACATTCATGCACACACTCACGCACACTCACGCACACTCACTCACACACATTCATGCACACCACACAACAAAGGACACACACACACCACGCACACACAATGACGCACCGCAACGTTGTCGTGGATTTGGTGGAAGGGCGCGTTGCACATGAAGGCGGCCGATGTGACAATGTTGTTGCCGTCGTCAACACACACGGAGGAGAGGTCGTGCGGTTCGTGCGTTGCTCCCATCGTGCGAATCGCCTCAGCCGTGCCTGCAAGCATGCAGCCGTGACAGGCGGGTGGTGAGCATGCGTTGTTCCAGCGGATGCTGACAGTCATACAGTGTCACTGGCGTTTGCGCATACACACATGACACACACGCCCACACACACACACACACACACACACACACACACACACACACACACACACACACACACACACACACACACACACACACACATACACACACACACACAAACACACACACACACGCGCACACACACAAACACACACTCACATACACACACACAT